TATATTCTAAAATTCGCTTAGAACCAAAACCATGTAATTCCACGGGGGAATAACGTTGTATAACTTGCATAACATAAGATTGCTAGATCGTGCTTTCTCTTAAAAATTTTGTGTTTCTTTTGACAAATAATCTAATGATAGGGTATCAAGGTTTCAACATTATGATATATTCATTTACTTAAGGTTATGAAAAAAGATATAAAAGACTTACCATAAGCCAGCACTTGCTTGACTTGTCGACCAATGTAGCTATTCTCATACACACTGCCAACATAATTACCAAGAGGAAAAACCGGCGCATTGTCATTGATATCAGTTACAATAATCTTAACATGTGTCTTTTCTTCAAGAACAGGTCGGCCATTATCCTTTACTGAGACCATAAAGTTATACTGGCTTTTTGTTTCCCTGTCAAGTTTCTTACGAAGGATGATTTTACCAGTAGAGTCAATCGAGAAGACGTCTTTATCTTCAACTTGATTCAGACTGTAAGTTAGTTGACCGTTATCAGGGTCTGTAGCATCAAGGGAAGCAATTGGCTTGTTAACAGTTGATGTATCATTCTCGCTCACTTTAAATTCGCAATGTCCAGCTTGCGCGCAGCTAAGTCGGAAGTAGGGTTTTTCATTAATGTCCACAACGTTGACTTCAAGGAATGTTTTGGCAGTATAGTGACCATCAGTAACGCCAATCTCTAACGTATATCGTGCTTGCTTTTCATAGTCCAGTACATCAGTGGTTTTTACAACACCGGTACTTTTATCAATGACAAACTTGCCGAAACCATTGACCAAATGGTATTCAAGTACTGAAGTAGAATCTTCATCTGTTGCAGTAACTATAGTAATAGAAGTACCTGAAGGTCTGTTTTCATTGACATTCGCATAGTACTTCGCTTGTTTGAATTTTGGAACTTTGTCGTTAATGTCTTTTAATAATACTATCACGACTGTWCGTCCTTTGTGGCATGCGTTGTATACGTCTTGTGCCAGGACAGTCAAGTCGTAACGGGGTGTCTTTTCACGATCTAATTTGGCAGTGGTTGTGATCCTACCCGTTGTGGAATCGATCTTAAAGGGATATCTGTTGTTGATCAACGAGTATCTAAGCCTGCAGAAGAATTAAACACAAAACTCTTTCACTGTTATTTTCAAGTGGTTGATATAACTCCCAAAAGGGCCACAAAAAGGTACCAGATAACTTTCTGAAGTAGATTTAACTCCATCATTTTTTTATTGAACCGGGGGTAGCTGTGATTCTGACTCCTCGTCTAAGAGCAATTTTGAACCTCTTTTGGAGCAATTTTGACTCTCTTTCTGAATTACTTTAAACATCTGGRGTAGAATCTACTCGTGAATTGTAGAGTAGATTGAACTCTCTTTAAAAATTACTCCACACCAGGTAGAGTAACCTTAACTCCATTGGTTGAGTTATTTCAACTCCTTGAAAATAATATTGTACAAAACGCGCCAGAATGATTACGCTTGTTTTATGAATTTCATGGGTTTTACAAAGTTGAAGAGGGATCCAATCATACTACTTCACTTTAAGAGGAAGGTCCTTTTGAAAACGTTGCTTATAGCTAAATGAAACGGGGACCACAAAACACAGTTGGTAGGAATTCTTGTCATGATCACCCTTATAAGCTGGACCAAAATACTGATTTCAAACCCTAAAAGGGACGCCGAGGACCCCCGCCCTTTGATATTATGGAGTCCCCCCCGCCCCCCGGGGTTAATCCTTCGTCGGAGTTCTCTTTTTACTCGACGGAGAATTAACGACCGAAACGTCAGCAAGTTGTTTTACCTTCTTTTTTACAGTCTCTTTAGAAACAGACGCAGCTAAAACTAGTTTACCGCTAGTTTTTACCATCTAATCGTAACGAGGTATCGGACGTGATTTTCTCGTTCAATTTTGATAAGAACATTATAAAAGACTAAATAAGTGCGTCATCCCATTTCAAGGTTATAGATGGCCATGCAATCATCTCAGTCTGAATTTCTATATCATCCTTTAAAAACCCTAGAGTTCGGAAAATAGCAGATAAGATAAGAAAGTTTACAAACCTGTATTGGGTTACAGAAGACTTGACTTGTTTCACGAACATTCCCGCTGGTTTTTCCTCTTCAATTGTAACAKTGTAACTATCACGAGAAAATAAAGTATCCCACATCGAGAGCTTGAATTCGTTGACATCCTTTTGTCCTTGCACGGCAACAAACACTATCTGTTTTATATAGAAGAATAAGTAAAACAGTTATATTAGACGTAGTTTTTAAAAGACTTTAACGAGACAATACTATTTTGATGGGGCACTGGAACATTTGAGAAATCCGYATTATCGACTCTTGGTTCCTTTAACAGACGAAATGGGGCTTGGTCGAGAGAAATGTCTCGGGMTCATTCCTCTTTGGTCTTCATGACAAAGGAAACCCAGCCAGATGAACAGTATGTTATTTTCAAATACTAAGAATTAATGTAGCAAACTCCCGCCATTAAGCAATCACTTGCAAATTTCCGAGCTTTGCATGTCATATTTACTGTAAACTATGCAGGCATGGCGTCAACCATTCAACCTCCTTTCCCTAGGGAAACACCTTTACATAAGTTCAACGGCATATGTAATCATGTAAATTAAYCCAGCATAGCACCGTCCAACTGCCTTGGAGACAAGGTCTTATTACTATGTATAGACAGACAGGAATTCGATGACRCATTTTTCATCGTCTAATGAATTGCGTCAAATTTACGTACCTGTTTATTGCTACGGTGCGATGAAAACTGAAGGCGAAGTGATCTTGGCGATGCATCGTTCTCGTTTTTCAAAGAGCCTGGRTCCATTGGTCCTGGGTTTTTGTTCGTCAGTGAAGCGTACAAGTGACTAATACCTAAAATGACAAGTGACGTCACATGAATTGATGATAAACTTTTTATCAGATTTCTTTAATACTGCGTTAGATTCAAAACCATTTCAATTGATGTATTCTTATACATTTATTAACAGTCCGTGCAAATGCAAGAGATCTGTGAGTATAGAAGACAATGAAAATAGTTTGAAATCTCACGAGTTTTTACACACTATTGAGGATGGATTTAACACAGTGTAAAAGAGATCGCGAAACTCAGCAGCCATYTCTTACTGAGTTTGTCTCTTAAATTTCCCTCACCTTTTGTATCCTGAACTTCAACAGAAATTCCGTTTGTTACAGAGACAAACTCTGTTCTGAAGTAYAGAAATGAGCCCCCTTCGACTCTGGATATGGTATCGTCACAGGCGGARACTGAAGCCCCCTCTAGAAACGAAAAGATTAAGGCACTCTTAGTACCATAGCAACTGTACAATAGGGGACAGTTGTATACCCAACAGGCTAATTAACATATGAAGCTTTTACGTCATATACTGCATATGTAATGTTTATAAGTGTATGCTATGATTGTCCGAGTAAGAGAMGTCTTGAGAAAGACTGTTTCGAGATCCTACGTGTAGTTATGGAAGTCATYTTCAGAGTGAGAGAAAAGAGAGTGAGAAAGAATATGCCATTTTGTTTCTATCACACTGAAGATGACTTCCACGCAGGATTTCCAAACGTCAGGATCCAGAACATTACCAAATGGGGTGGCTGACTCAACAAAAACATATCACATTGAAGATTAAGGCTTTTAAGGTCATCCTAATCAACCCCAMYCCCTATTTCTTGRATCCGCCCTTCGCTATGTTATATTATGTATTAGTAACATCTGTATTGCAGTCAACTTACCATCACACGAAACAGCACTGAGCTTATCAACCCAYGCTGACAGAGAATTGAAGTTACTCAAACTAAACACGTGATCCTTGTCTGGATCTGATGCAATGGCATTCAGTTCTTGTTTATTGGTCCTCGAGCCGACGCCAATACAAAACATGTTAATGCCATGTTTCTTGATGGATGTTGCTGCGGAAGGAGCGGTGTAGTCCGAGGAGTAGCCATCTGTTAGAAGGACTGCAACTTTTGGGATTCCTTTGTCGGGTCTCATGCCATATGTCGTCGAGAATACCTTAAAAGTAATGAAACTATATGAATTGATATTACTAACCAAACCATGACTGGGACAGTAGACTTTTTTATTTTTACATACATTATACATTCACATACTGACTGCTAACACGAATCTTGTGCATCATGGGTAATGATCATATCATTGCTTAGGATTCACCAAACTATAGGCCTTTCTGAGATAGCAGTTTGCATTGCATTGTGGTCTAGGTCCAGTACAAACATCTTTTGTTCATGCTGCCAAATATGACGTTGTTTGTACTGAGTCTAGACCACAATGTATCATGATTATGCATTTCAGAAATGGTCTCAGTTATTACAAATACAGCATTCTGATTGGCTAACGATGATGGTATATATTCCTGTTATACCATAGTAGCATTCTAAKTGTTATCGRTTTTGCAACTAGGCGGTTWCGGAAAATACGTGATCAGTGCGCACGATTTATTTCCAAAGACATTCATTAAAGATTGGTAAGTGGCAAAGCAATAAGTCTTTTCAGTYATATGCAGAGTTTGTAGGGCAAAAAGGTTGAAAAAATCATACATACATTATTTTTGGTCAGGCGAATAGCTTCGCCAGTGTACGTCCATCCAGCACGATAAACAATTTGATTGACAGCGTTCTTTAAGGCCGACTTAGTGGTGTGCGTATCAAGGTGGAATTCTACTTGTGACCATGTGGAATACGTTACGACGGCAACGTGAGTTCCTTTAGGACCAATGTTGAAAAAATCGACGACTTTCTTGACGAAAGTTTTGATTTTTTCAAAATTGTAAGAGCCAACGCTGCCTGATGTATCGAGAATGAATGCTAGATCTACTGAAGTYTGACACACTGAAAATATACGAATAAAACACTAATGAACAATAACAATGACGATGGGGAGCAAGGATGGCTGAGCTTGCAGGTAGCTATCCGGTCTATCACCGGTCCGGGACTATATGTGATTTGAGTTTGTGTGCTGGTTCTCTTCCTTGCTCCGAGGGTTTTTCTCCAGGTACGCTGTTCTTCCTCCCTCTGTTAAAAACTAGCTATAAAGAGTGTCGCATGTTAGAACATGACCAATGTTGAGGTAGAGTGTGTGAGTCTCCGCATTTAGTAGGACACTTGTTGTCTGGTTACAGCGATTTGAGACGTTAWTAAAGTTATTTATTCATTAATGACAATATTAATAATTAAGTCAGGTGAAGTCGCTAAATTTGTTGCAGTGTGAAGCATGATGTCTTCACTGTCACATTTACGATTTCTACTTAATACTATCTTTAATCGTTTTAATTAGACACATTACATGCGTGTAGTGATCTTACCATCTCGTATGACACTAGCGTAGACGTAGTTGTTCGTCGTGTAGTGAACCCAGTCAAAACCAGACTCGACTGCCAAGCCAGCTAACTCTCCAAGCTTACTATTGTCGTTATCGCTGACTTGCAACTGAAAAGCTCGACCTATGTAAGAATCAACGAAGTCAGTCAGTCAGTCAGTCAGTCAGCCTATCAGTCATTCAGWCGGTCAGTCAATCATTCAAATCAACAAGCATCAACCAACAACACCACAAYCAGACAGCTAGTCAGCAAATCAAACCATTTTTCATTCAAATCATTTTTCATTTTTTCATTTTTATTAATTATCTACCAGTTTAGTGCGGAATCAGTTTTGAACATAATTCATGCCAAACATTATGTACCGTAAACTTGGTTGACGTTATTGATAAAATTATAGGCCTAAACGTCACCATTACACTTCCGTAAACATAACCGATATGCACGTGCGTGAATAAACATTACTAWTCAGCAACTACGCGAACACGACTAATAATTTAAACGTCAACGTGACTAAACTGTACCTCTTAAACATGACTAAGAACAAACGTACTGTGAATGGGATGACTAATAAACTAATGCGTGACTGAAAACGAAAATCTATGTGTCAGTTGAAAGCTGTATCTGATATTRCATTTATCTCACACGAAGTGCTATGTCTGCGCTGACTCGGAAGCGAAAGCTGAAATTCTCAACTAAAGACGGACACAATATAAGTGAAGGGAATTAAGAAGAATTAAGAATCTTAAGAAGAAGGGAAAAGTAAGAAAAGGAATGAAGAAAATCGGAGTTTGAAAACCGAGATCAGACTGGGAACAACGAACCCTTATTCTTTAATCATGATCAATGGCCCTTCACAAAGATTTCAAAATAGCATTAGAAAGATACTATCAAAATAAATATGTAACAAATAGATAAATAAAGAAATAAAGAAAGAAAAAATAAAGAAAGAAAGTATCCCATCTATGGGAAAAAAATCGCTGACCCAAGTGTAGAAGGCTTGGCTTATTGCTCCATTTGAACAACCTAAAAAACTTAAGAAAAAGAAAAAAGAAAAGAGAAGAAAAGAAAAGAAAAGGAAGGAAAAGAAAAGCCATACATATGAAAAGAAATAGAAATAGAAAATTTCATCAAAAACTATAAAATAGTTAAATATGAAAGCGTTATATAAGTTTTAAAAATACACACAGGTTTTCTTTTTCTTTTCTATTTCTTTTTTCAAATTCAGCCCTRTTAACTTCCTTGAAATTATCACAAACAACTGSACATCACAGTCATGACGAGTCATTAAATTCATTACTCTCAATGCGTGCCKAAAAGGTTGCTGGACCTCCTTCATTTGCCACAATGACGACATTCGACTAAAGCTGAGGCAGATCTAAAACATTTCTACGTCACATCAAAGTGACACTATATACATAAAAATAACCTGAAAGAGAAGTAAAAGGAAAGTCTATCTTCAAATTCTTTTTGTTTTTTGATCTTCTCTCCCAAGTTTCAATTTTCTCTTTCCCAAACATTTCCTGTAATTAACATTGTGTACTTTGAGCTGCAGTGTTTTGCGTAGAGTTCTTTTGTGTTCGTTCAGAGACCGGAACAAGTCCAGATCAGATCCACTTGGCTACAACAAGTGTTTTCTCCATATATGGCACGGTTTTTGTCGTAAAAAATAAAAACCTACTAAATGATTACGCAATCCATACTTTTCAAAACCAATTTTAGTCATAGTTTTTATCTATTATGGAAAGATAATAGTTCGTCTTCGCTATAATTATGCAATAAAACACAACAATAACAATTGCACCAATCGTTGCGTATCGATATAGTGAGTGCTGAGCTCAAGCTGTGGTTTTGTTTTGTTTCTRTGTTTCTTTAATCAACACAAACAAAGAATTCTTTCCCCAGAATAAACTTTCATTTCCTTGAGATAATAAAATCAAAAGTTTGAAATCCCGACTGTAATTATGAAGWTAAAGTTAATTGGTCATCAAATGTCCGAATATTAAGTCAATTATAATCGATTATAAGCATAATTCGAAAATGTGGAGTTGGACATATTACTGTTGAAGCTATTGATTAAAAAAGTATTTCGATTCCAAAACAAAAATGAGTTTCTGATCTAGAATTAATGCGCAGATCCAATTATTTCCCGACAGAACTTCAATGCCCGGTTCTTGAAATTTGAAAATTTCATGGGGCGTGATTTGAACGAGCGAAATYCTTGCCAATAAACAACTGATTCGAAAAACAAATCACCAACAGGGAAAATTATTGTTTCGATTCAGCAGAAAACTTCAGCAAACAACCTAAAATTGGACCAAATGACAAACAAATGAAAAGCTCAGTTTCGAATTTCTCACCTTCGTAGTGAAGCGAAATATGGTTTGGTACAACTACATCCGTCCATGCTTTCAAAACTTTAACTTTCTTTCTATCCCATCGACTTGCCACCCTTGAGGCAAGCACGTCAAGCTTGCTCTTCGCTCTTGCAGTCATTCTTCTCGCATCGTCATTAGTAAACACTATCTCTGAATTTGTGTTACGAACTAATATCTTAAGAAACCTGGCCGAATTTCTCTTTATTACGTCTCTAATACTGCCGCAGACTTCGATTTCAGTTTTATATTTTGGATAGGTTTCACCTTTTCGAAATGATCTTGCAGATGACGCTATTCCAGAATAATAAAGGAGAAATAATAAACGAAGAATTGTTGAAGGATTCATTTTCTCTTAGTTCTGTGGAGAAAGATGGGACTCGCATTAGTGAAGATTGCTATTGAGYAAGTTTTATTGATTCCCATGATGTATTTATAGCCCCCCGACTGGTGTGACATCCGATTTGAAGATTACCCTCTATTTTCCCTAATATTAAAATATGAACAAATCCCCAATTATAATCGAAAGATATGCAATAAATTTACTCAAAACGAATTTTTACATCAAGATAAGATTAACATACTTCATCTAAGAGGAATTTTTCAATCTCTTTGTAAAATAATGCGAATTCAAATAAATATATGCCATGACATGTTTATATATATTTCTACTTGTTGCACAACTGATAAACATCGAGCATCAATAAATCAAATATCGCTTCAGAATCAKTTTCAAAGGAGTCCTTTGTCCTTTGCAATCCATACCTTATATATCAGCCTCTTCGTTGTATCATATATTACTAAAGTGTAATAGTGCCTTTCAACCTCTGATATATAAACACTGAGAGACGTAGGCGTGTCAGAGTGATCCCGTGTCACAAGAGTTCAAAGTCACRTTAGATCCTGTTGTATACATAGCCCTTATATGGAGTTCATGCATTTGATGACATCTTACTCAATTGCTTCTGCCTTATATGATTGCAATAGGAAGGAACTCCAAGCAAGCGCATACGCAATCCTAAAGTATGAAAGTAAAAAACATTTTTTTTTGCATTGAACTGAAACCAGACCACACACACACAAAAAGGTTTTTTGAAAATTAAATCAATTTGATATTGGAATTGTACGGTTTTCCGGTTTTGAAATTTTATTGACGTACGGATCATTCTCTTTATTGTGTTTCCTTTGTTTGAGTAGATGGYGGCCGTCTAGTCCGTAAGGGAAGCAGGACGTTGCAGCGGTACTACATTAGAGCCCGCGATGAAACCGGAAGCAGCTTAGTCCACAGGAAACCCATCCAAGATATAATTCAAGGAATCTAACTTTATGTGAAAAAAAAAAAATAAAACAAAATAAAATATAAATCAATGAATAAAGTAAAAAAGTAAAATCGAAAATATACAAATTCATCATTTTATTGGAAAGCACATTAGACAATGCCTTATGATCAATCCAATATTGCAAGGAAAAGGAAAACTATACATCAGTTACTCTGCCTACAAGTCATTAGAAAGCACTCAGTAAAGGCAGCAATAAAATTATAATGAAGAAACTATAAATTTGAAAGGACAATAGCATTCAGCTAAATTATCCACGTGACTACTGTATTAATCAGAAAGTTATTTGACCTTGTTATAAAACCCTTAGTAAATCATAGCAGTTTGACGAGGACATGACGCCTTTTAGTTATACTATATTTCAGCAAAAAAGGAAGACTTGCAACCCATTTTCTTACACAGCGATTCTTTCACCCAAAAAGCTRATTAAGGTTTGAGATGTGTGCTTTATTTGCACACTCCCCCTACCTTCCGTAAATGATTCTGTCACTCATTTCAAACATTCCATTTTTCTTCCCAGTCAAACGTAAGCGATTCTGCTCAGAGTAACGGACAAGAAACTGACCGACAAATGAAGTTGTACTGGCCAATATGACAACAAGCCATATTTGCTTGATGGAACGATACTATCGAATAGCTACCATTACCAAAAGGCTTTCGGTTTTGCCCACATTCGCGAAATAATATATATATATATATATGATATCAAAGAGGCAAGATTTTGCTGTAACTCCGAGTTTCGTGCTACGCACTCATCAGACAGTATTTATAATTAGTGCCAATTGTTGGCCTTTTTCCAAAGGCAAAGTAATAAATAGAAATATATAATACTTCAAGAGTGTATCAAAAAAAAGCAGATAGTAATATAACTATAAACGATATACAATATGTTGTTTTTACCAAATTTGGAAAATTACCAAACCGTTAKTTTTTGTCTGGCATCAACTGAGCGCGCGTGTAAGATATTATGRTGTCAGCACGGTTTGGCCCTCCTTTGCATACATCAGGAGTTTCGTAGCACTATGCGTCCGCCATCTTGAAAAGTGAGACCCGAATCACTATGTTGTGCCTATAGAACACATTTTGTAGTTGCTACAGTCAATTAATCTATCATTATTTCGTATCATATTAACTTAACATTAGCTTAGAACATTAATTCCTTTTCACACTATAAATCACACTAATTAGCCAATCAGCGTTTATAGTTATATTACTATCCAGCTCTTGTTGATACACTCTTGAAGTATTATATAATGTTAAGAACTTAGCTTTGAGCCTACTCGCTACGCTTGGAGGTCCATTTGAATTTTTAACATTTTAAGATGTCAAGAGTTTTCGAATAATRTACCGATCCAAGTTTAATGGCAACATTTTTTGGCGGGGTGCAACTAGACTGGGGCGCGCGAGCGACCAACAATACATTCTCCTACAAAAACTCGTAAACTCATTCTTCATATCGTGTTTTATTTTGCTTTYAAGCTTTAATACTGCTGTTAAATTCGGATTTCTGTTAGCTCAGGTGGTTATGAGTTCATATGTATTTCTAAATAAGCCATAATAAAGCTCAAATTCGTGCGCAGTTTGTGAAGTAAAGTTTCCAAATGCAGCAGCATTCCATTGGACTGAGAATATAGTCTATTTTTACTAGTGAGGGAAATGGAGAGGGAGACGTAGATGTAAGTCAATTACTCGCACATGAAGATCTGCGAGCCAAGGAAACGGGAAAAAATGAACTTCTGCTTCATTCATCTCATTGGTTTTTTTAAATTCTCTATGAAAACGTTTCTCTATGATCTGCTAATACATAGCCTTACCAATGGCAATACCAATGGCAATAGTAATAAGGGTCTMTCAGGCCCAAACTCCCTCGGAGCGGCTAGGAACGCTTGGCTACGCAGGCTATTACAATCACAATGTCCTGAAGAACAATACACCAACTAATCAAAACAGCATATTGAAAAATGACTTTTATTACAGAGTATAGAAAGCATCATAGAAATTTGTACATCACTAAAAATTATGACTTTTATTAATTATCAAACTATGGTCGATTTAATTCTACATAAAAATCTACATATCTTTCTTTTTACAGTTTTTTGCTGGATTATTGAGAAACACGGTGGAATAAACAATCTGTAGCAAAATATTTGCCAGTTGAAGTAATTTTGATTGGATATCAGATCAGTACATGTATCGTCATGAGAAATACACGTTGGTGTATTTAGAGTAAGACAGCGTACAATAAAGTTAGAGGGAGAGCCTAATTTCTACAGCAATATCTTTTTKTAGCTAATTTGTAGAATTGGATTCTTTCCCAGTTTTGGTTGAAYCTCATAGGATTTAATTTCAGATCGAACAAGTTTCTTGTAAAATTTTCAGCCATTTTGCTTACACACATGCGTTGACACAGCTGCCTCGATGTCTGATATCCATATCAACTATATTGAAACAATTAATAAATTCTGATGATTTCCCATCAATCTTCTCAAAAGGAAGAAAAATATAAAAAGTTAGTCACAAGCAGTACTGTGCAAGAAAAGAGTATCAGTTTATAAAAAAAACCGACAGAAAATAATTCCATTGACATTATAAAGTTTCACTATTACCAAATAACATGGTCTTTGTGGCATATTCTTTAAAATAAAAATAAATAGAAATATGATTATAGAAGTGATATATAGGCATATTCTGCTGTGAATCAAACGTTCACAGTTATTTGTGAATATTCTGACCGCTAGCTAGCTATGGTGTTCATAATGGGTAGAATGTGATTTTTGCTTTTTTCTCAAAATGAGCTTACAAATAAATCAGACACTTTTGCTTTAGAGTTATTCAAACATATTTTACAGAAAAATGAGATATCATCTACCCTGTATTTTGATATATTTGTATATGTTAGCTGTCAGAATTTTTTCAAATAGCTGTAGTTAGGCATGGATCAAACGCCGAACTAAATTTTTGCCGTAACAAATTCAAGTTTCTGTTTTTTAACGTGCRAAAGTCATTGTTTTGATCACATTTTCATAGGATAGACTCTAATGCCGCTACAAATTCCAATTCTGAAAACTTTCCCATTCTTTTCAATCGTATAGCTGGTGAAATCGTCGTGAAAGCAGACAATTTTTATCATAAACTACTATTCAACAGCAAACATCATGCCTTTAAAAGCCATGTCATGAAAAGAAATTTGAACAGTTGACGAATTACGTTCGGAGTTTGACCCRGGCCTTTAACGTTTCGCGGTTAAGAATTATATTACTCTGCATTTTCAATTGCAATCTATATAAAACCTGTTCATTGATTTTTACTTGATTTTACCAGAAAAATTAACGACTAAGAAAAGGACATCTAAAAAACATATATAATATATATCATATAAAAACAGATCCAAATGCAGCTATGTAAGTAGATTTTCATAGCGCATACAAAAGATCAACACACTGAGTAAGATAWAAGTGATTTTTGACTCTAATTAGAGTAGCTAGCTTTTTAACTCATTCGGCTGATATATTTTAATTAGTAACCCTAACTTATATACAAAAGAGTTTAATATGAGTAATTTACAAAGGCGACTTCCCTGAACAGCTTTCAAAATTTGATGGAGATTTTGAAAGTTTTCCTCGTCGTTTTTCGTTTATTTCTTCGCCGAATTGGTAGATGAGCTTTTGTCCCATAACATGGCGGATGATTCCACGTTCGTAGTAATATCTTATMGCACGACTCATTTTTTCATATGTCATGTCATGACGATTCTTTCTTTTGCCCCAGAGCTTAGCCACTTCCTTGGAGTTGACCAATCTGAAAACACCATCCTCTCGATTTTCCCATTTGATATACTTTGGACTGTACTCTTTGTTGTCAACTATTTCTTCTAGAAATTCCCATAAATGGATGGTTTTCTTGACTAGAAAATGTGAGAAAAAAAATATGTAAATAAACAATGAACAAGAAGAACAAGAAGAACAAGAAGAACAAGAAGAACAAGAAGAACAAGAAGAACAAGAAGAACAAGAAGAACAAGAAGAACAAGAAGAACAAGAAGAACAAGAAGAACAAGAACAGAAAGAAGCACAGCAATAAGAAAAAGAAGARAAATACGACGAAGAGCTGAAAATAGTGAGCAATGTACCTCGTGGCTTGTGGATTTTCTTTCCTGACTTGAAATCAAAATTCGGTTTTTCTGGTTTGCAGTTGCGAGGAAGAGTAGGACGACCTTGTGAGAGAAAAACATTGAATAAGAGTGGAACAAYTAAGAMGATTTTTAGATAACTAAGAGCGAAAGAAACACTGGGAATGCATTTTGTCACCTACCTCTATTTTCGTCCATATTGTCGGTTTGTGAAGAAGTGCTTTCATGCTTGACTTTCATGACGACAGTTGAGTCACTGTTTTTACTCTGGGTACCATTCGTAAAGTTTCCTGGAATTATGTTGTTACTTATTGTTGTGGTTGTTGTGGTGACAGGAGTAATCTTTGTACCATATTTGTTGACAGATTCTGAATATGTAGGAGGTGGACCTATCACAGCAAGGCAAGTTTAGTGATGTACGTTGTTCGCATTCACCCCACCTTTTACTTATAAATTAAAATCAGAGGGGATGTAAATAAAACTGCGATATTGGTGACAACGCTTGATAAAAACCCTCTCAGTTATCTGGCTGTCTTCAACAGCTCTCTGATCTAAGGCTTTAACTTTTCGTGAACAGTTATTAACAATTATGTATATGATTCAATCAACAATCAGAAATATTCAATCTAGATAGCTCAGGCCAGTTTYGAAATTGCTGGGATTTTAATTCGTAATAACAACTTGGGTATATGATGGCAAATATACTGACACCATTCATCCGAAGAAAAGGCAAAAATACGATCCTACCATTTTGTTGACRGCTCAGACGAGCTAACATGACTTCTTTAAATATGCCTAACATTCTTAGCTATAGAATTTTTTTTCTAAGAACTTCCTATCTATAATACCATCTTGTTTTTACCTCTATTAAGTTTAACCATATCATTGAAAGCAATATCAAKATCGCTTGAGTAGTCGCCAGTGCCGTAAAAGTCCGAACCACAAGACGAGGTGCCGTCTGATGACTGATCTCCCTCGTGGCTTAGGAAGGTGTCTGCTGTACACTGGTCCTGTATRGCTGACAGGAGATACATGTCAAGATCATTAGTATCATCGGGGAAACTGCCAAGGAATATTCCTGTTTGATTGACAGAGTATGGGTGGAGTGATAATTCTTGGTGCTGCTGGTAGGAGTCTGCGCATGAAGCCATTGTAAAATCCTCCTAAATAATGAGAAATATGACGGCGTCAACAATACTAATGGAAAAGATTGGATTGATAATTGGCAAAAAATAAACAATGTTTTGGTGAGGCTGCGTGAGATTAATAATGGACAAGATATTAACAATTATTGGGTGTGATATGAATCCATTGTGGAATCCTCCTGAATAGTGAGAAATATCATAGTATAACAATGAAAATGTTGGATAATTTAATGGTCACGATAAGACCGAAAATTATTTGTTTAGGCTGTGTGTGATATGAGGTCATTGTTGAATCTTCCTGAATAATGAGAAACATCATGGCGTCAACAATACTAATGGAAAAGATTGGATTGATAATTGGCAAAAAATAAACAATGTTTTGGTGAGGCTGCGTGAGATTAATTATGCTGGTTAAGGTGACCTATGTCGCCAAGCCTCAGACTGAACTCAAGTAATTGTTGTAAATCATCCTCATTTTGTAAAGAAAAAATGTTTTATTAGCAATTTAATAATTGGACACACTGGTCGAATTGATATCTTATAGTCGATACCTGCATKATAAACCTTAACAATTTTTACATTCGTTTTAGAATAATAATCGCTAAAATCATCGCGAGCTGCATGATTAACTTCTATTGAACGAATGAATGAATGATTTATTCAGTAATACTAGACAATAAGTGGAATGCTGACTCACTTATTATCTGTTTGTCACTGTTGCCTGACAACAAATTGAGTTGTATCAGGGCTCTACAAGACGTCCGGACTCGACGAGACAAAACGATTAAAAAAGGGGACTTAAATTGGAAAAAAGTGAAAATAAACTCTTGTTTTTGATGAGCAAAAGATTTCAAAAGCATTTTGAAATATCTAACAAAGCCGATAGGAAAATTGAACTATTTTGGAGCGATAGCTAATCAAAATATGTACACCGCACAATCGACAATRAAGATACACTCTATGTTACCGTGGGATACAATTGATTATCCAATCAAATGCTTTGTTTTTTTATCACGTGACAAGTAAGTTTAAGACATAGCAAATCAATTCAATCAGCGATGCATTTATAGCATTGATATRAAATTGTCTTTGAATAAGCCAGACAGAAGACGTTTTAAAAGACTTTTTCACRAAACGTCAGACGAGAAACGATATTATTGACATTGAGTCCTCTTGAAACAAGTTTTTGCATAAAGAAATGTCTAAATCTGACGTTCTTTGTGACAGAACTCAAAACAAAGTTAGTATTAGATTAGTTATTTGCATTTTACAAAGCTTCTTGAGAAAGTTCTTTCAGTTTCGGACTGTTTATTCCCGAATAAAATATGCAATACACCATCATTTCTCTTCAAGAACCGCCGAGCAATCGATCCAACAATGATATTCTGCTATAGAGATAAAACAATACAATAGAAACGAAACTACGTGTCATCTTTCATTATTATTTCWTAGTGGAGTTAAAATGATTGGAAATGAAGATCTGTTGCAACTACCATAAAGAAATAAGGGCTTTGTTTCCCTTCACAATATGAATATCGGAAGCGAAAGCACATAGTGTCACACCTAAAATGTGGTTTGTTGGTCCAGAATCATAAGCCTTATCATAACATATTGACTTTTATCACCTTAATTACTAAGAGCAAAAAATCATTTTCTTTGAACAATAAAAATAATAAAACCATATGGAGACTCATGAAGTTAGCCTAAATTTCTTGGCTTCTTTTTGTAAAATCAATGTAAGCACGCAACATCTMTTAAATAAATAATACGGATAGTCACCAAAATACTTTTCCAAACATCTCCAAAATAGCAATAAAAGATACTCACTGATGATTATCTCCCAATTTAGACGAAAAGCGGCCTGTTCGTTGTGAGCTGCGTAGGAAGGCTGAATCGTTTTGGACTTGAATCGATTGTCATTCACGTAATTTTCAACTTTAGTTTCGCTACACTTAAGAAGGCCTCTTGAAACTATATCTGGTGCTTTTCACAAGTCAAATGTTGCTGTGAAGTCGTCTTTGAGTAGAGATATTGAGCGCAAGCAAGATTATATTGACTATATTAAACTAGTATTAAAACAACGGTGAAAGTGACTTGTCTGCTTTGACGAAGCGAAACACGACTTGCCCACATAACGAAACCACGGCCCTCATTAACAAACAATCGAAAGCGGATATGCGTATTTTTATAGAATTTCGCATTGTGCAGATATAGAAGTAGAGTCTGCAAAAGCCGCGATGCGCTCCGCAAGCTCACCTCAAAGTTGCAAAGACTTGTTGAAGACAAATTTTCAAGTGGATTCCAAACTTGATTTAAAATTGTGCACATCGTGATCAAATAGCTTTACTTCAGTTTATGTTATTAAAGATGGCTGAATGTAGAAGTGCGGACATGTGTGCTTTCGATATCCAGCAGTATGGCGATTTGGTTTGAATCACCTTAAATCAAGGTAATTTATCTATGTTGTGTTGATTAAATATGACGTCATTGCCATCTAGGATTGCACTTCCGTATTATGTACACAAAAACAACTCGCCTCGCAGGTGAATTTTATAGAAAACATCAACCAAAATAGAACTATTATTTTCAAATTTCGTTTTTTGGTTTAATTAAAAAGGCTAAAGATATTCCAAATCCTATGCAAAAGCATAAACAACTGTTATTCCGCGAATGGCTGATCAAGAGTTGATGGAATGTAGGGTCGAGTGTCATTCCCCGCTTAAACGACTCCAAAACAAAGCAGGGAAAACCCCTGTGGATTACYAAAAACCTGAAAGTAGTAACAACTTCCTGTCTTGGTATTAAATATTGTAAAACAGAAATATAGATCAGATAAATACTTAAATCCTTTAGTTTCGAACCCTTGGCCTGGTTATCGCTAGTTTAGGCAATAGTTATGTCCTGACAAGCCTCCCGTCTCTTTGTCGTAAAATATAAACGTAGCACAATATAGAACTCATGTATATTAATATATCTCTCGCCAGACTGCAAAAGATGAAACGGTGCTGCTTCGAAGCTAGAACCTTTAGTTAGAGACTTCTCTCCTGGTAAAATTGTTTTTACGATATATTTCTTTTTGTGTATGATTGAAGRAAAAATCATACCTAGTAGAATTCTTGTTTGAAACTTGTATTTATAGTATCGAAAACTAAGGTTTAGTAACCATTTTTATTGGATATCAATTTCACATGATACTGTGCGACTGCTGTGCCCTMTCGATAGTAATTTAGTTGCTTGGAGCACTCATAAATCGAGACTTTGACATGCAGAAATATTTACAAGAGGGTTATGTTTCTGCGTGTAATATCGGTCCAGCGATTCTCTATTTTCAGCCGACATTGTTCWAGGCAGCTTGATAAATTAAACTAATGTACTTTGCCGAGATATTCACAAATAAAAATACAATTCCTGTTCGATCTTATTTAACACCCAATTGTACCAATTATTTAGTTAACTTTTAGTTAAAAAAACATTGAATGTCAATCAAACCGTTTTCATTAAGCTTATTAACTTCACTAATTATTCATTATTGGAAGGATCTTGGACCAATGATATTAGGAATTAAAASTACTTTTTCGTTGCACGTAAGTAGCCAACATGGTGGCTTGGAGTTCTTTTTTTAAAAGAAGTTCTTGGTATTTCTAAAATACGAGTGTTATACCTGCGATTCGGCCAATCCTACTTTTATAACGGACTGCCGGAATTTTTGAATTATCTAACCTATCTAATGCGAATTTGCGGATCACTCAAACGCAAAAATGCGAATTTTTCTTACGAAGTTGAACGATGTTTTYTAGTCCCTACTGGATTTCGGTCCCCCCTCTAATATGCCTCCATAATAGGGAAAATGTCTTAAAAAACGKGGAAAAAATCAAGACTGTCCTCCAAGAATAACATTTCTTATTCGACAAGGTTATTACAATGAATAAAGAAGAGGGTTTTAAAAAATGTACTAGTATCACACGTGCAATTCGGATTCAGTCCCTTGCATGTATCGGCCCGGTTCAAGTACTTCACGTCTGCTTAAGGGAACAGAAAACAAAAGAAACCAGTCCGCTGAACGGTTTGCCATTCTGTATGTACAGTCCTTGCCCGTCAATACAGACCGCCAAACCACAAGCCTATAGAGTCTTCGACWCAAKGATCCCGACAAAGGCTGACGATATTGAGCACGTGCAAGACTCAAGGAACATGCCTCAACAGGAACGGTAGTGATTGTCTTCTTTTGTTTGCATATGTACGGTGGATGGTAGACTGATTCATGCAAAAACGTGAAATGCACAGATCGAACGAAGAAAATATGTAAACATTTATTTAACTTAGAATTATCGAAAATGTTTTCAAAAAAGTGTTGAACTTTGTCAAGGAGCATTGTATAAAATAAAATTGTACCCGGGAATTGTTCTAGAGTGATTTTATTGCTACAAGCTGGTGTCGTATGGTCATCAGACATGGCCACACTCGTCAGGCAAGTTACAATTTTTTAAACATTTATTTATGCATACAATTTCAGCTCGGTCTTCAGTAAACACCAATGCTTGGAATTTTGTTTATTATAACGACCATTTTTAATACAATCCAAACAAAGACATCAAATATGCCGAGCTGGTTGCAGTAATGAATGAATAGATACCCAGRAATAACAAGTAATTTAGGCAATGGCTACAATTAATTCAGTAGAATAATTTTTGATGAAATATCAGTGTGCAGCATCAAAAACAAAAGGTTGCGGTTTTAAACTATAAACATTATGGGTCAGTGTTATAACTGAAAATACAAAAGTCCTTATGGCATTATTTCCTTCACGGATGGGGCAAACCCGGGGAGGGGGGGGGGATAGGTACGCCAGCGGTCTAAATCCCTGACCCAGTTTAATACACTAAAAAGTAAAAATCCATACCCTGTTCAAGACAAATCGGAAAAATAAGGCATATCTATCTACGCCGCAACCATCAAAACTGCAATTATACTGACATCCATCTAAGACAATAAGAAGTTTTTGATAACACGTTAATCCTGGGACAGTGAAACGGTATTTCCACTATTTCTACGGTGTTTTTTTATGAAAATATTACCCTGTGCAAGATACACAAAAAAATATATCGGTCTTTTATCTAATTCGGGTGAAATTTAAAACAGCAAGGCCAAAAACCATACCCTGGCCAGCGGCACGTCCCCGTATAGCAAATATATGGGAGTACCCCCCCAGGGCAAACTGGCGCAACAGTCGAGGCCTCAAAAAGTCTTTGCTTTCATAGAGAGGAGAATGACTCCCTTGAAACAAACATGTCATCATTTGACAACAGCAACAAGAATGCTTTGCAGGTTTAAACTATATTTCCTTCTTTGTTGTTTTTCTTTTGGAAATTAGATATTTTAAAAATATRAAGAAATAAAGACTAATAGAGGACAAAGCATTCTCAGAATATCTTTTACCATGTCTAGTAAGAACTTTAAAATGAGTCTTAAAATGCCTATGTATTTTCACTCTACAGCTACTAAGTTACGTAAACATTCAAAACTTGACGCCGTTGAAAAGCGATATGCTGAATCGCAAAAAATATATACAATTGATAAACGAGAAAAAATAAATAATTAAGTAAATAAATATAAGTAAAAAGATACCTTGGYATGTACTCCTTTTGAGTCTGAAGTTGGATGTTGGTGAATAGATGTTCGATGGAGTTTGAAGTTCCATCAAACTTTCAATCAAATAAAAACATTAATTGCGTACGTTGACACGAGACAAAAAAGAATTGATGGATTGCTCTTGACTGTTCACAAACATGCACTGTACGTATTCTTAAAATAAATGAAATTAATAATTTTTTTTCATTTCAAGAGTTGATAAAAATGGATACACAGTAAACATTTCCATTTACAATTTTTCAGTCAGTACAGTGCAGTTTTAGGTGCTACACGCTTCACGTTGTGCTTTAACCAATTGAGACGTCTGAAACATTRGATGTAACACATGTAACACATATGAAATAGCCGGATTCAAAACAAATCATTACAAGGGTCGWTTGAAACGTCGAGTTTAACATGTGGTGAGGTCAGTGCAATAAAAAGATTACTGGAGTTTTCTACCTATGTAATACCTATGAAATCATTGCAGTTTATGACATAAACTTTAACAGAATTATGAATTTGTCCTTATTACTGCTATCTGTGCTATATCTACCATATGTTCCTCAGAGTACAAATTCTTTCAATATTTCATGGGGCTTACCAATTTTGACCTATGTAAAGTTGAACATCTTATCATAGGTTAGTTGAATCATTTCTTAGCGCTATGGAAAAGTCTTGAAAAATGTTTGAAACTAAACGCGCTTTATATGGCTAGTTTATGGAGGTCATATGGGGAAGCTATGAAGCACCACTGCGTGCTTATAATCATCATAGTTTACACTGAAACTGTAATAGAAAACGTCGACCATAAAGTTTTTGATTTGCACACCACTGCAAAATGCACAGCACTTGTTGTGCAATAACACATTTTTAAATCTCTTAAACTTGCTGGAACGAAAGATTACTGTTCCTAAGTAAAGATAATATTTCTTTTTGACTGTGCGTCATGGCAGCCCGACGWGACGAGGCCTGTAGGTGACCTACGCAAACGCCTCTTGTGACWAAGACGAAATATAATATACAATATTACTACATATTAGCCAAGAGTACAGGTACAGAAAAATATCCACAGCAATACAGTAATATTCGTTTGGAATATAATTATTTCGTTCATTTACAATATATAATCTACATTGTAGTCTGCAAGGCAAGGGCGAGATTGAATATATAATAATATATAAACATAAATACATAGATGATCAAAATACAAGTACACTTGCTATACACTTCAACTCACCAATATAGCTATTCTACAGCAGAGTGATTTTCTGATGTCTGATAATCATTTTGTAGTGTTGTATACAGTCTCTGTGTAGGTTAGTATATACTGARCCGGTCTATATGGTGGGTTACGACACTCGTCACGCGAGTTCATACAATAATGATTGCAGAGTGATTTATTATAAGAAGCTGTCAGGCTATTAATGGATCAGTGATTATTTATCAATAAATAACTGTGTCGACAGACAGACAATTACATATCCTGAACTATTCGTGTTTTTAAAACATTTTAAACTAATTCACACCAAATTGCACATATGTTT